TGTGCTTGTTCATCAACGATGATACTGCACCAATAATTTTTTTTTGCCAGGATCAACCTGTAATAGTTGTGGCCATCGTAATGGTCCTCGATGATAAATTCGTTCAAACGCAGAAACAACTTCAGTTGGTGTTTTTGTTGATAATGGTTCTGCATTTTCATATCTACTCGCAAGGTCAACAACAGTTAACGCGTATTTGTATGTGTATGTGTATTGACGTCTGCCAATTTTGATGGTATCGTGTGGTGAAAACAAAATATCCGATTGATGAACTTCATTAGGGGTATTGACATCGTAATGTGCGTATTGAATTTGTTTAGGTGGTGGTAGATAGATTTGCCATATTGCATGTCGTGCTAATTACACTGCAGCAACATCACGTGAAACTTTCGCTGAGACAGCAAGTTTGCTAATCACTGCTTTACCTCTCCAATACTCTCTGGAGGAATAATAAACAGATTCCATTATAAAAATCAGTTGATTAATTACCTGCCCCTAGCATTATTTTTCCTTTAATGGCAGATTTTACTAGAAAACTAGCGAACTTTTCTCTGAGAGATTTATTAGGTATGGAATTTAAAGCATGAATCAACTTTACATCTGCGAGATGCCATTGTTGCAAATCTGGACTTTTATACTCGACATCATGAATATGACACGTTTGACCAATCTTATTTATTAGATATTCTCCAGGTTTTGGTTGGTCTTGGTCATTGAGTCTAATATCGAGACGATTTCCAGGACCACAATAATTATATCCGTGAGTGTGTTTCTCGCCGGGGTATTTAGCCCACGGAGCTCCTGGCAATTTTCCTAATGAAACGGCTATATCACCACCACATGCTATTTGTGACGTGGAAATAAATTTGAATTTGCTTGTACCATATTTTACATACTTGCCTGTGAGTGCGAGTCTCTTTTTTTGTTACCGTTGCCAATCCAACGTTGGTGGTTGTTGTTCTACATCGAACACAATATAAACTCATATAATATTATATGGATATAACTGACTTTTCAGCGACAAGAAAACAAGAGCCAGTAAAGCACTATCCAGCGTTACCAAATTCTATCAGAATGATTATAATAGGTCCTTCTGGATCTGGTAAGACCCAATTATTGCTTAATCTGATAATGCGATGGCTTGAGTGGAATAAGTTATATTTAGTAGCGCCATCTGCAGACAATCAACAATGTTATGAAGTACTTAAAGATTTTAATGAAAATGCAAAATTACTGGACGAGGACAAAAACAATATTATTGATTTTATTACCTATATTGATGAAGCTCCATCCGTAGATGACTTAGATGGATTCAATAATAACCTCGTAGTATACGATGATGATGCTAGATAAAATAACCAACCAAGCTAGAGTATTTTCTCCAGGCCGTCACAAAAACATTTACGTGATTTACGTTACTCAGAGATACACACTGATACCTAAGGTGATCAGAGATATCTGTAATATTTTGGGTGTGTTTAATGGCGTAGATAATTATACTTTACAAAATATTTATTATACTTGGTGTTCAGAGGACATGGACATGATTAAATTAAAGTTTTCTTTTCAATAGCGCAAACTTTTCCTTTTGGATTTATAACGATAAACTTACCTGATCCAGGGTCAAGGTATCGTGTAGGTTTGGATACAATCTTTAGTTACTGATATTTAATTCAAAGCAGCAGATAGGATGAACGACATATGCATGTGACCAGCATGTGAAAACAGAAAAAGTCGAAAAATAATCTGATCAAATTAGAAAAGATTTTGGCCTAACACTATAAACATCGTTTTTCAGCTTTTGTATAAACCCTTAGTTTTCAAAAATAAGGTCTCTACAACTTTGTAGGGTTCTGCCTCTCCGCTGCTCATTCGCTGACTTGTCTTATTTTCGTAAGTGCCTATGAGCTTCTTAATATCCTTCAATAAAGTTGTAATTATAGCTACTTTAATAGTGTTCTTTTTATTTGGTGGAGATATGTAGACAGAGGCGCTATCTTGATAGCTATCTGCTTGATATCGAATTTCGCTCCAATTTATACTCTTCGAAAAATAGTCTGATGGTGCAGATACTCTACAACCAGCAGCACGGACTGTATATTAATATACAATTTAACTATCATCACTTGTCTGTTTATACTCTGTCATTAGCAAATATATAAACATTATGTATTATGTTGTGTCCGTCAAACGTCAAGGTACTTTAAGTCGTAACCAAGACTGCTAAGCTTGGGTGAAGGGTACACAACTACCAATGAACGCTAATAACATTGAAAATATATTGACGAATTAACTAATACATATTCAAAACATTCTAATGCTTCTATAAACAAAAGGCCAGCATTTACAACCAACTAGCGAAATTTAATCAAAAATGTGAACTTGACAAATTTACTGTGAAAAACCGGTCGTGTGATCTAGTGTCAGCTATCAAAAAACGAAATTTAATGTGAGCTAAATTCAACCTTGTAATTAAAATGATTCAGCGATATCCTGACTGATTCGATTTAATGCCACAATAACGCCATCTATTATCTTACTTTTATAAATCAAAATGAAGATTTTTAAAAACGGGGATTTACTGTTTACCGTTGAATGTGCATTCGCGCTCCCTTTAGACAGAAAAAGAATTCTCCTGCATTTAAAAAAGAAGCGATATCATTCAAATCAGATTTCAGATCTCCAAAGACCTACGTGGAGATCTATGATGGACACAACAATAGGTCGTGCTATGTACACAGCGAACATCACGATGCAATATAATGAAGGCTGATATATTGGTCTTCTCCCAATCAATACAAACTATGACTGCGTCATAGTACACGCAAATCGGCAACCATGTGGTATCAAAGTTCCATATAGAACGTAGCAGTTTGGGAATTTACTATATTTACAAAATAAACCCTGAGACATGTGTGAAACTTACACTATCATGTATTAACAGTTATACCACTAGCTACATTTGAGTTGTTTGTCCTGTCATTTTCACCGCATATAGTTCTATAAATATTAATCCGCTTCTTGATACGTTATAGTATTATCAGTCATTTCTTTTTAATACCCATCTTAGGATATTGGAAATTAGGTTAAATATGCTATATATAGTAAGTATGCATTATATGTTGCCGTAAATAGTACGTATAATTATTTTCCCTGCAATTACGATACTATTGTAGATGGTGTATATATTTCCGCTAGCGTGTGAGAAGGCACTTCCCTCAAGGCAAAGTGATTTAAGAGAATAAAAGCTTTAATTATGCGAAAATTAAAAATTGATCCTGTAAGATGTATAAGAATGTTCATACTCTGTAAGATGGTCGTGCTTTTAGATTTATTGGATGTTACATTTTTTTGCTATTTGTGAATGTTAAAAGTGGTATAGCGTAACTTGGAGAAAAGATGCATAGTTTGACAGTGGAATCTCCTGTAGGCCAAAAAGCCCATGTTTGAATTAAACTCATTTTTTAGCCATTTCTTGATAATCATATTATAATACCCCACCCACTGATTTGTACATTACCAATGTATATTTGCTGTTATTATATGAATTTGGTATTTTTATTTTACTGTAGTGAGATACATGTACAAGCATTGGGGCCCCGAGTGGCCGAGTGGTCTAAAGCGCTGTCCGTTACGGATCACTGCCATCTCACCTCTGTCTGCGTTAGTTCTAGTCTAGGATTCGGCGAATGTGGATATGTGAGAAAGCTTGCCAGTAGCTTCTCGTGGGTCGGTGGTTCTTTCCGGTGATTTCCCGGTTTCTTCCTCCACCAATAATACTGGCCGCCATGAATAGCCTATCGTGTGCTGAAAAATGGCGTTAAGCCTAACAACAACAACAACAACAACAACAACATGTACAAGCAGGAGGTGATCCATAAGACGATGTTTTCCACACACAAAAAAATCGACAGCCAAACGTTACATCGCCACAAGTTCATGTTTGCAAAGTAGCAATCCTTCAACAGGCCAAATTATATGCAAGAAGTATGCCCGCAATAGACCAAGGGTTGTCCAGTGGGTACACTGAACTGAGCATACGAAATTTGTTTGTATATATAGAGAGAAAGGTTGACATAACAAATAAGGTTTTGATTTCTAAGTTCGAATGCTTTGTCTTCTAAGATCGAGAGAACAAATTCAAAATTCGGTAAGATGGTCCAAGAGATTAAATGTGAGTTTGATGCTGCTGGAACTCTACTGCATCTAAAGGTGGAACCAGTGCATTAAAAATGGAGAACAGCTTGCAATTTCACTTAAGTAAGGTTGAGGATTTTGAAACTGAAAAACTTAAGAGAATAGATCACCACCGAGGAACGGTAGAGAAAATTTCTACACAGGTATTCTAAGGTCTGGGGTTTGCATAAGAATAATCACGAAGAAAGAGATGGACTAGCTAAACTTGCATTTGCCGTTCATAAGTTTATACACCCGAAAAACCCGGACAATAAACTTAAAACAATGATCAGAGACTAGAGTGTAACTGGTACTGGAGGTTGCGAAGTATTACTTTCAGCTGTGGTAGTAGAAAGCGTTTCTGAAGTTTGACTAGAGTTGCAATTTTGCATTTCTTCTTGCGTTAACTCCTGCAAATGTATTTATGAGTTAATTCCTGCTTATTGACGTAAAATAATTTGTAAAAGAAAGACAAAATTAGTTGACTCACATATGATTGTATTTGTCCTTCATTGTAATAGTAATTGTTTAACATATTGCAAAAAATTACTGGAGATAGATATTAGCTTTTCGATATGTGTGTGTATTTGTGTGTGATTTGGATTTTTAACTTCTTTTAAACAATTCAGTCATATAGCTACGATGTCTGAAGTATGGCCGTTAATACTGATTTCTAGCACTGAGGCAACATTCTCCTGATATGTAGCATCATGTCCCACCAAGTTACATTATTTTTACACCAGGCCGATCAATCCCAACATTGACCTCTTAATGCTGAGCGCCTAGCGAGGCAGCTGTTAGTACCATTTTTATAAGTCTTGGTATGACTCGGATGGGGTTCGACCCCGTAACCTCCAGTATCCGAGGCGGAAGCTCTAACCACTAAGCCAAAATGAGTGGTCTATTACTAACTAGAACCATGGCATGAATAGACAACCTAGTACATAGCCCCTGTGTGCTATAAATCGCTAATCGGACTATTTCGGTCGCCAGGCGCCGATTTATTGATTGAAAAAATTCACAACTTAATTGTACAAATGAATTAATGAACTTTACTCGTTGTCCTAAGTACATTAGTTGCTAGTCAGAAATTCATTTACATAACATTTCCGTATATAGTAAAATTAATTCCTTGTATACACGATAAATGTCATTTCAGACAGATTTATTTATTCATGCGGTTTATATCAGCAGTAATGCACAAATCATTAGGATACATGAGTCATATAACATTCGAGACAAATGCATACAAACCATTAACTTTGTTTACTTCATGGAAAATTATTTTGAATTTAAAATGAATAAAATAAAAAAGGTAATTACAAACTTAAATCAATGAACATATTGGAGATAAGTGAGACAAATCTTGACTTGAGACTCGTTTTCTTTCTATAAAGCCGACTCTTTCTTTTCCTTGTCTTCAGCTTTCTCCGTAGTCTGCCTTTATTGATAACTTTTCGGGGTGGTGTGGGGTTCATTTCATGACACTTATTTAAAATGGCATAAATTGTCTCTGGATTGTCTCTACTTTGACATTTTCCATTACTTAACTCCAAATTAACATATCTGATAAACCGTCAATTTAGCGGGTCGTAATTAAAATTCAATCATACCCCCAAACAAGAGCACCACATCATTCGCCGATTGACATTTATCGCAGGCTCATATGTCAAAGTCAATTGTTACATGTCACGCTGACCACGACAAGATTCACTTGTGTGTGTTGCAATAAGCTTTATTTTCTTTCATAACTGTGAATCACCATAATACTATGCAGAAATATTAAACATTTTAGTTTTGGATTTGTGGGCTTTGAGACCGTTTTTCGCACACGATACAAGGCGGCCATTATCTTTAGTCAAGAAATAGCAAAGGAAAATTTCAGGAAGAGCCATCGATGATGTAAGCGATCTATAAATCGCCTTAGACCACTCAGCCACCCGGGGCCATCAATATTAAAGGATATAAGTACATTTGAAATAGTCCGTCCAAATGCTAGAGTAATTGTGAAATGGGATTTTAACCTATATATATGAATTATGATTAGGATGCAGCCAATTATATTGATGTATGGCACATTAATTAAATGTAAAGAGTAAACCTGTAGCGGTAGATATGACACACGAATTAAATGTACAAGTAGAGATGTAGTACTACGCATGGTACATGAATTAAATGTAAAAGTAGAGAGGCAGTGGTACGTATGACACATGAGTTAAATGTAGAAGTAGAGATGTAGAACTACGCATGGTACATGAATTAAATGTAAAAGTAGAGAGGTAGAGGTACGTATGACACACGAATTAAATGTAGAAGTAGAGATGTAGTGCTACGCATGGTACATGAATTAAATGTAAAAGTAGAGAGGTAGTGGTACGTATGACACATGAATTAAATGTAGAAGTAGAGATGTAGAACTACGCATGGTACATGAATTAAATGTAAAAGTAGAGAGGTAGAGGTACGTATGACACACGAATTAAATGTAGAAGTAGAGATGTAGTGCTACGCATGGTACATGAATTAAATGTAAAAGTAGAGAGGTAGTGGTACGTATGACACACGAATTAAATGTAGAAGTAGAGATGTAGTGTTACGCATGGTACATGAATTAAATGTAAAAGTAGAGAGGTAGTGGTACGTATGACACATGAATTAAATGTAGAAGTAGAGATATAGTGGACAAAAATGCGATACAAAATATAAGAAAAATAGGAGATATTGTAAAATTAATAACTATTTATGATTATAGACCGAAGATCTTCTAAAAACAGTATGCTTTGCCTTCAAATTTTTTCATAGAAATCTTTGCAACGTCCCTAAATTATAAATACACTTTACTATTGATAATCAGCTCATTTATTGGTGGCATATAGGGTAATTACAATGTATCCCACAAAAAAAAACAACCACTGAAAGACAAACATATGTAATAAAAACTATAAAAATCTAGGTTGAGAAGGCTTTACCGCAGAATTTTAAATATTCTTTGGTAAGGATTAAGACGTATTTCCTCTTAGATACTGACATTTTTGTTTTCAGAAGGGTGAATTAAAATCTTGAAATTAAGAAATTTTAACTTGTGTTCCAAAAGTTAATAAGGACTAATACTATTTAAAAACTGTGTTACATACCACCTATAAACATGCTTCCGTATCTATTACGGACAATTTTAAAAAAAATGTTTTACGATATAACGCAATATGCAATCGGTCTCATGGAAATTTACAGATAAATGTCTTCCTTTTATGAATTTTGGTCTAATGATTTAAAAATTGGATCGAAATATTTTACAAGAATATCAAATTACGTGTCACTGTGAATAGTCTAGTGTCACAATGGTTTCATGTGGGGAGTAATTGGAGGCAAGGTGATCCCATATCGCTGTATACTGACGATGCCTGCAATTTTTGATGGAACGTCATTGAGGGTTAACCTATAAATACTTAAGTTCTGTGGAAAGATCTCCGATCTTAGCATTAACATCAGTCAAAAAATTATATTTTCACTGTCCCACGTGAAGATTTGAAAGCGACCGCTTCGTGTCATGTTCTGCTGACCTTTGAATTAGTCAACGGCAATGTAGCTTTCCAAAGTGTAAAAAGTATATTTTAAACGTTCGACACACATTACTGTTCTTAGGCCACACTTATTAGTCTCCCAAATGCGAAGATAAAGGAAATCAATTGATTGGCTAATAAAATTACCAATTATTCTTATGAAACAGGTCACCAGAACATGACCCCAAAGCGGTCGTTGTCATATCTTCACATAGGACAGTGGAAATCTGATTTTAAACAGATTGCAGTAACATTGAATTTGAGATGTGTGGTTTGAAAAAAGTAAATAAAAATAAGACAGGAAAATTTGTTAAAATGGGAATCGGGTGTATTCAAAAACTGATTGGCATTCAGTTCAGGAGAAATTGTAGAATTAAATAAAGAAAACAAAACTAAAGAAAAGCAACTTATGCTCTCGTAATAATCCATGAGATTTTATACCGTTTGGAAAATATACTGCTGTCAAGAGTCCTGATATGTTCACTATTAATTACTTGTCATAATCCAACTGAAATTATTCAAAATCAACTTTATCAAATGCCTGATATTATTCTCTTTTTTTGTTTAATGATAAAATTAATTGAATTATCTGCATTCAAGAATATGCTAAAAGGGGATAAATTATGATTAACATTAAAATATTAATAAAGAATTTAAAAGCAGTCTGAATGAGTATATTGGGTGCATCTTGGTACTCTTTTTTTGTACAGACTTGTTCAGTTATATTAAATGTTTTCGGAATGGAATTTACTATATAGGTTTTTGGAGGTTTAAAGAACAATTATTGAAAGATACTTGAATAAATAAAGAAGCCTAAATCGTGGCAACTGTTCTAAATGCGTCAGCCTGGCTCAGTGCTTAAGTCGTAGTCATATCAGTAATCATCAGTATCAAGTAAATATGATCAGAGATATTGCATTAAAAAAAAAAACTTATTTTCATTTTAATTCATTTAAAGATATTTATCTATATGGAAAAACTTTCTTTTCATAAAATGAGGTCTTAATAGGTGCAAATAAATAATATTTGACGGTAAAAAGAAGTTTCAAATATTATCCTACATGGATTAGCAACGTGAGTCATATTACTACTGCATGCTCTACGATAGGATCATCGTCAATGTATTTATTGGTGTAATTTGAACAACATAAAAATATGTTGTAAGGCCAAAAATAAACAGACACGGGATCTTAACCTTGATGAGTTTTTGTGTTATAAACAATCTTGCACATAAGTGTACAAAAGCAATTTGTCATAAATGAATTCAATTGAAAATTTCAATAGAATTATACCTACTCATCTTCTTTTACATAAAATGAGAATTATGGGGAAATAATATTTTTTTATACAGATGAATCACTTTTTCATTTACTGTATAAATACGATACAGTGAAGATAGTTACAAACATCAAAAATAAATTCCCTATCCGTACAAATTAGAAAAGTATATAGCCTACAAAAACTGGGGGTGGGAGAAATTCAGTCATAGATGAGAATCCTATTAAGGTATATTTGATTATATCATTTTTTCGGAATCATTTCGGGAAGCTACTTTCAAATGCGTAAAACATGATGCATAAATTATAATGTGAAAAATAAAGGCGTATCTTCAGTCATTGTCAATATTTTTCAGGGACTAACCTAACTGATAATGCTTCACCTGAGACAAAAAGCTTCCTACGATTAAGTTAAGAAAATTTAAGAAAATAACAGCAATGAAAATGCGTGCATCAAAAGTTCTACATGTTTTAGTTGCTCATTTGCTTTGTGACTTCAAACGGTTGCACCACTTGGAAACTTCGAGAATAAATCTTTTTTAGCAGATCGTCACTACTGACCAATATTACTGCTTTGTTATAAAATTTTTTAGAGTCACGCATTTTGCAGAGTCAATACACTTTTAAACCTCATTTATTGAGAAGCAAGTTTGCAGTTCGTCAAAGGTTTGTGGCTTGGAAGTCATATAAAAATCAATGCCATTTATTTCCGTGTCATTAACTGTTTACGCAATTGATTTAGATGTAATCATATCGTACTCTAGGCAAAGTTTTACAAGTTCGTAGTCTTGGTTACCATTTTCTAACACTTTAGAAGCGTTTGCGATTGTAATTCTAAATCGGAATATCTTTTATGAGCTTAAAAAAACTGTAGAGAATGATCTGTAAAAATAACAGCATATTTGTATTCTGTATTGCTTTCCATATAGCTCGAATTGTACAACTTCCGTTCCAGTAGTTTTCGCATTATCTGCCCATGATCTTAGTTCATTGTGTATTACGCTTCGTTGAATAGTATTTGTCCTAGCTTAAAGCGATAATTACAAATCTGGGCATGCAATGAAA